ATGGAAGAACAGAAAAAGAGGGGAGAATTGTTTGATGGAGAAAACAGGGAAAGCATAGAATACGTGAAGCAGGTTCAAAGGGACTACCAAGATACTAAGAAGTCTATCGAAGACTGGCATAACAGCTTGAAAGAAACTAAGGACAGACTATCTGAACTGGAGGGCAGAATTGTAATATGGGAGAATGAAATGAAAAACTTCTTAAAAATAACAAAGAAACAAACAGCAATAATACAAAGACAAGAAGATGATAAGAGGATCCATAACTTAAGGATTAAGAACATAAAAGAAGAAGTAGGGACACAAACAAATGAACTACAAAAGCTACTCACAGAAATAATCCAGGAGAATTTTCCTAATTTAGCAAAAGGTAAAGATACTCAGATGTATGAGGCATACAGGAGCCCAGCTACCTACAACCCAAACAGAGCAACACCCAGGCATATAATAATAAAAATTCCAGAAATTCAATACAAGAACAGAATATTAAAAGCTGTCAGAGACAAGAAACAGACCACTTACAAGGGAGCACCCATCAGAATTACAGCAGATTTCTCTGCACAAACCATCAAATCACGAAGAGCGTGGGGGGAAATAATTCAAGCTTTGAAAGATAATAATCTCCAGCCAAGTTTGAGATATCCTGCACAACTGTCCCTGGAAATTGATGGAAAAACAAGGTGCTTCCAGGATAAAGAGGAACTGGGGGAATTTGCAACCACCAATTCAACTCTACAGAGAGTATTGCAGGATATTCTAAAAAAAGAAAAATACAAAGAATCCAGAAATAGTGGAGGCCACAACTAATGGAGCAGAGAACAAAGTGAAGAAGACAAACTGACAGCAACTGACAGAATAAGAGCTCAACAGAAATGAGACAGAGAAGATTGGATGATAGGAAAAGCTATTTTGGAGAAAATGACATCTTAATAGGTAATACTGATTTAGTATCATCTTGTTTTGAAGTCTCATCTAGCTTTTGTCCTTCTGTCTCCAATGGTCTAAATAGGTTGTATCTTACTGCATTTTATTATGTACGATAGTATAAGCAAAAACCTTTTAAAGACAAGGAGATTATACAGAAACCATTATTCATTTTCTGTTAGTCGATTCTAAATACTCTGTAATGCTGTCATTCTCTTAAATGGTTTTACATTGTTTTGATATACTTAATGCTACAGTATACGAAGTTGTACTCAAGGATTTCAAGGAAAGAGACAATATGGTAACTACTTTTAGGTCAGGATTATCTGATGGTGAAACACTATTCTGCTTAAATGGTTATGTTTTGATCTGTGCTGTTTCGTTGTTATGCCCTCTTTTATCTCAATCTCCACTCCATTATTTACTTTTTTAATACTTTTTAAAAAATTTTTATCCTTTTAATTAAAGGAAAAAAATAGCAGGATATATTATAGTAACCCACTTTGACTTTCCATTACCTCGATTTAAAGCCCTGTATTACTCTCACCATCTGGTTTTTAACTGATGTTCCCCTATTCTGTTTTGCTGGATAGTATCAGGTTCGAAAATTTAGGCATCAGCTGTGAAGATAATGAGATTCATTATAACGCCCATTCTCGTTGACTTTTCTCTACTTTTGAAGACCTACAATGTCTCCAATGGTTTGGTTTTGTCGGTTTTGTTCTTTACTGTTTTGTTCAATTGTATTAAAACTAATGGTATAGGCAATTCTATTAGAGATAGCGGGAGGCATTATGGTAACCATTATTGATCACCTTGTATTATGTTTTCACATTATCTATTATGTCCACCCTTTTGCCTTGACCGATTCTGTTCTGTTATGTCACATTTGGTTTTACTCTCTTCCAAAAAAGTAATAAGAACCGTGAGAGCAATGAAACCCAAAATGTGTAATAGTCATTGTACAAAAGAGAGGAAAAGAAAGTGCTCTAAACTATATAACTGCATGTATATTTAAGTGTATAAGATAGAATATGATATCACAGAGTTTTATTGGATCATTGAACAGAACTGTTTGCAGTATCATTGATGGAATGTCCACTTTACAAGCTTTAATTTTGTGACTTGAACAATTATTTCTAAGATGACAATATGTAATCCATTAACTAGTGATTTCCTACTGTTCATTTTTTTCTGCAAATCTGTATAACTTGTACCCTTTCTCTGCTTTTTTTTTCTTTTCTCCTTAAATAAAATTTAAAAAAAAAAAGATGGAAGACGATATTGTTAATAGTGTATCAGGATTTAAAACACACATTACTCCCACCACTCTGCTTATATTGAATTTATTCTTTTTTTGATAGATTTTGTTCTGTTCCAGTTTGTCTACTTGCATTAGATTTGAGGGCACAGACAGCTATCCCCAAAACATCAGGATATAGTACAGTAATTATCTTTAATTTCCTATTATCTTAATCTGGAGCCCTGTATGACTTATACTGTTTTATCATGACTGATCTTAGTTAAATCTGGTTTGTTTGATGGCTGTTTGGTATCGACAAATTTTATTCAAAACTGATATGATTGGTAGTATCAAGTCTGAGCGTATAGGCAACTACACTGAAGATTACAAGACTCTATGATACACATTCTGGATTGATAACTGCTGGTTTTTGAAGTTCTATACTATATACAAAGTTGTGTTTTTATTAATACTATTATGGACTGATACATTCAATTATACTATGTCTGATGATATAGCCAATTCTATTGCAGATAATAAAGGACAACTCAGGAACCATGGTAGAACTCTTTGTACAATGGTCTTAATGTTTTTTCATTTCATATGTTTATAGGAATATGTTTTGTTTTGTCTTGCTTTGTTTTATTTCTTCCTCTAATATAGAAAGGATAGAAATACATGTTAAAACTCATGCATGTGTAGAATCTATAAACAGTTTGTGAGAACTGATCTTATGACACATGATGAAATGAACAGATACTTTGAGGAAAAACAGACACTAAAGTACCCAGTGCTGATAGTGGAGTGTCATAATGTGACACCCAGCAATAGTATTGTTCTTTTTACAGTGATTTAGCCTGCTTGTGTTTATTCAATCTCAACATAATTGAAGATATGGATAATGGCATGTATGTTTAAGTGTATAGGACTGATAACCATATTTCTAAGTTTTTGTTGGATAGTTGAACAGAACTGGTTGCAATCTCAATGTTTGTATCCTCTCTTTATATGCTCCACTTTAGTAACTTGAATAACTATTTGTAATACGACAATCTGTAATCATCAGTTAGTGATTTCTTTTTATTTTTTTCTTTGAAATTATGTATTATTTCTACACATTTTCTGTTTTGTTTAGTCTCTCTTTAAATAAAATTTTTTTAAAAAGACACTACAGTACCCAGTCTGATCCCGGAGTGTCATGATGTGAAATCCAGCAATACTATTATTCTTTGTTCAGAATGATTTTAACCTGCTTTAGTTTATTTAATTTAAACATAAATGAAGATATGGATAACTGCATGTATGTTTAAGTGTATAGGATTGACAACCCTGTTAATAACTTTTTGTTGGACAGTTGAACAGAACTGTTTGCAGTCTTCATGTTTGAATTCCAACTTTATATGTTCCACTTTTGTATCTTTAAAATTTGTAAAATGTCATTTGTAAAATGACAATATGTAAACATCAAATAGTGATTTCTTACTCTTTATTTTTTCTCTGAATGTATGTATTATTTCTACTTATTTTCTGTTTTGTTTAGTCTCTCTTTAAGTAAAATTTTTAAAAATAAGGTAAAATGAAAATTACTTGTCTGGGGATTTAGCTCAGCAGCTCAAGAGCTTGCCTGGAAAATGCAAGGTTGTGAGTTCGATCTCTGGTACCAAAAATAAAAATAAAGTAAAATAAAATAAAAATTACACAAAAGTTGATATTTTTCTTAAAAACTTTAAAAAATATCTTAAGTTATTATGAATATCCTAGGAAATATTCTAAGAAAATTAGAGACTGATGGAATGATTAGAAATGATCCGCATACATACAGGTATGATTAAAAATATGGAGAATGTTTAATTTAAAAAAAAAATATTACAGTGAAAGGCACAATGCCATTAATCACCCTCAAAATACATTGCATTGCTGCAAACATTATTATGCCATCATTCTTGCCACTTTCTGAAGCAGTTCTGAAGTCTCCTTTCATTAGTATCTTTAGTTGCACAGTTGTGACTGCCTTGATGTCCTGAATTGACTCAAAATGTTTACATGTCAGGGTCATTTTGACTTTGGGAAGAGTCAGCAGTCATGCAGTATCAGGTCTAGTGAATAAAGTAAATAAGGACACATCAGTAATGTTTTACAGCCTTCTTTTTCTATCGAACGTCACTCATTACAGCAGTCACAGTATTTTCCATTACATCCTCTAAAGACACTCACAAAAGAGAACTCATAGAACTATTTCAGAAAGTACCAAGAGCAATGAGATACGCGTGTTTGAAATCTGAGAGAGTATTTTGAGACAGATTAATTGCAATGTGGACTTTTTTTGAGGTAGGGTTTCTCTACATGGTTCAGGCTGGCCTTGATCTCATTTTGTAGCCCAGGCTGGCCTTGAACTCACAGTGATTCTCCTGACTTAGCGACCTGAGGGCTGGGATTACAAGCGTGCACCACCACAAGCCGCAATGTATTTAGTAATAATAAATTCATTACCATTTAAGCATACATTCTATATTTTGATCACTCATTTTATAACTTATTAAAATAAATAAATGAACAAAAGATGGTAGGAAGATGGAGTATGAACTTTGAAAGGGCAAATCTGAGATATGGACCGGCATTTTTACAAGGCAGCTGACACGGGAGTAGCCCATGCCAAAGAGAAGTTGATTTTTTAATGTAAACAATAGGGCCTACACTTTTCCTTCCTGCAACCTAGCCAATGCGCCACTTTCTTGCGTCCATGCTCCACCCACTTTCCAATGCCTGATTGGTTAGGTCTAATTCACTGACTCCCCTGATTGGTCAATTGGCATTGGGCCATTTCATAAATCAGCTTCCTCCTGTAATAGAGCGCCAGGCCGCCATTGCTGTGTTGAGCCGCCTCGTCCGAGGTAGGTATCATGAGAGCGATGTCCGGGACAAGGGACAGAGGGGAACAAGTAGGAAAGCTGGAAGTCTGTATGGCTGACTCAAGTCCTTTTGACTTCGTCATAACCTCCAAGGTCCTGAAAATTCTTACCCCTGCAGTTAACCAAAGCCTTTCGGGACTACCCACTTGGCGCAGGGACAGAATTAAAACGGCATTTGATTTTCGGGGAGTTCTTAAGTGCATTCCTGATGGGTGGAAAACCCCTCTTAGCCTGAAAAACCACGAATCAGCCAGATGCTCCTAGAATTCCTCATGCCAAGTAATCTCTCTGCATGCGGGACTACTTAACCACCGTAATTACCGTTAGTCAATCGGTTGAGACAGGAAAATCAAAAATTTCAGAGAAACATGGAAACCTTAGCAAAACCCTGTATGAAAACTGGAAACTGTAAAAATGGCCACCAGTGCATGTCGGCACTCCCTCAATTCAGTCTTCAGTTGATGAGAAAAAGCACACACGCACGTGCACACGTGTGGGGGAGGGGAGGGTCGCCTCTGCATGGCTTCAGCCATGTTGCAGTGCCATCATGTGCCCGAGAGCCCAGACCTCTCACGTGGTTGAAAGGCTCGGTGCCAGTTAAGTCCCCAGCCCTTCTTTATTTAATTTTGAGGTGAGGTCTTAATACATTGCCCAAGATGGCCATGAACTTGTAGTACTCCCACAGCCTGGAAAGGAGCTTGGATTTGCAGGTGTGTGCCACCGTGCCTAACGAAATGGAAACTTTTTGTTTGCGTCAGCGTGTCCCTAAATTGCGCAGGCCGAGTTTAAATTTTCAGTCCTCCTGCCTCAGCCTCATAGAGTGCTAGGATTTCAGGCATGTACCACCATGCACAGGTTTTTCTTTCTTATTGTAAAAATTCGCTGTAAATTTTTAAGCTTTAGAGAAATAAACTTTAACTTCAAAAATGACACTGTACACTGCTTGCTTCTCCAGTAAGAATTTATCCTGACATCTTGTTGTTCATTTTTCTTGACATACTGTACATTTTTATGGGGTACAGTGTGAATATTCTTATTCTTTTGAGACAGTGTCAGGCTACGTAGTTCAAGGAGACCTTGAAGTCTCTTATGTAGCCCAGGCGAGCCTCAAACTCACGGTGATCCTCCTGTGTCAGCCTCCTGAGGGCTGAGATTACAGGCAAGCACCACCACCCCTGACTCAGTATGGGGTTGAGGATTTAACTCAGTGGCACAAGAGCCTTCCTGGCATGTGCAAAGTTAGGAGGGAGATCACCGATACCCCCACAAAAGATCCAGTGCACGCATATAATGTGTACTAGGTCAAGTTCAGTGATTAGCATTATTCCTGTACTTAAACATTTATCCTGTCTTTGTAGACTTCAAACTCCTGTCTTTTGGTTCTTCGTGAATATCTAAGAGGTTGTTGGAAACACCAGCTGCCCTCCTGTGCTGTAGACCCTGGAGCCCCCTCCCCTCTGTGTTTTTGGCATCTGTCAGACAGTCTCTCTCTCCTCTCCACCCCATTCCCAGCTCCTGGGGCCTGCTCCTGTGCTCTGGTAGAGGATGAAGTCAGTTGTGCCCCAGCCCTGGGGAGCCAAGCCCCGCTCACTGAGTGGCATTCCCAGCCCCTTCTTCCCCACTTTTTTGTTTCTTTGTAATTCTCTGTGTGCATGTGTATATCCTATAGGACATAAGATCTTCTCACTGAACTACATCTACAGGTTCTTTCTTTTCTTTCTTTCTTTGCTATGTGTGTGTTTGTGACTGTGTGTGTGCGCGCGCGCACGCATGCATTGTAGATTAAGACCAAGATCTTCACACTGATCTAAATCCCCAGTCTTTTTTTCTTGGTTATTCTTCTCTCTCTGTCTCTGTCTCTGTCTGTCTCTGTCTGTCTGTCTGTCTCCCCCTCTTTCTCTCTGGTGATGGAGACTGAATCAAGGGCCTTCTCCTTGAGCCACTTCCACAGCCCTTTTTTCTTTTTCCTTTTTTAAAAAAATTTTCTTTCTTGTTCTTTCATTCATTGTTTTCTTTTTTCTGTCTTTCTTTGAGGGTGTACTGGATGTTTTGTGCGGAGACTTCACTGTGAGATGTATCCGTGTACTTGTGTGTGTTTGCTTGCACTGCAGAATGAACCCAGGACTTTCTCACTGAGTTACATCTCCCCCGGGACTTTTATTCTCTTCTGTTTTTCTTTCTTTCCTATTATTTCCTTATTTTGTTTTTTGAGACAGGCTGTCGTGTGTAGTCCAGGCTGGCCTTGAATTCACTATGTAGCCCAGACTAGCCTCCAACTCCAGGGAGTCCTCCTACCTCAGATTCCAGAGTACTGGAATTGTCTTTTGTGCATGTGGTAGTTACAGCTGCACCAAAGGTCTCACTGAATTACTTCTGCAACTCTTTCTTTTCCTGTTTTTTTTTTTCTTTAGTGTTCCATTTATTCTTTTTTTCTCATTTTTTCCATGTTACTGAAGATGGAACCCAAGACTTTACCACGGAGCTACTGCCACAGCCCTTTTTCTTTGCTTTTTTATTAATTCGTTTCTTTTTTTGAAGTTTTGTTTGTTTTACTAGAGACTGAGCTTAGAGCCTCTGCACTGAGGTACAATCCCAGATGCTTTTTCTTTTTTTGTTGTTTGTTTTTGTTTGTTGTTGTTGTTGTTGTTGCTACTCTGGATCCAACTCATGACCTTGCACTTGTCAGGCAGGCCCTTATGCGGCTCAGCCTAATCCTCGACACTCTCAATATCTTTTTCCTGTTTTCTTTTTGTTGCTCCTGTTTGTGATAATGTGTGTGTTTGAGTGTGAGTGTGTGTGCGTGCATGCACGCGTGTTACTGAAATTAAACCCAGGGCCTTCACACTGAGCTACCAGACCTGGCCATTTCTTTCTTTCAAGCCCATGTGTGTTTGTGCATGTGTATATGTGTCGTTTCAAATCGTACCCAGGTTCTTCCCACTGACCTATGACTTTTGCCCTTTTTTTTTTTCTTTTCTTTACTATGTTCTCTTTTTCCTTTTTATCGGTACCAGGGATCGAACTCGCGACTGCCTGCTTGCAAGGCAGGCGCCTATGCCGGTGAGCTAAATCCCTATTCACACCCCTTTTTTGTTTTTGTTTTACTCTTTGATGGATTTTTTGGGTCTTTTTTGAGGCAGGGTTTTCCCACATGGTTCAGGCCAGCCTTTAACTCACTTTTTACCCAGGCTGGCCTGGAACATGTGGCAATCCTGGCTCAACCTCCTGTGAGCTGGGATCACAAATGTGCACCATGACACGCATTTTATAATCTTTTTTCATACTGAAGATTGAACTGAGGACTTTGAAATAACATCCACAGCCATTTCTTTCTCTGTGATTGTGTGTGTGTGTGTGTGTGTACATTTGCTTCACTTAAAATTGAATCCACGGCTTTCACAGGAAACTCATTTTCCCTCTGTTTTCTTCCTTCTTTCTTTCATTATTCTGTGTATGTTCGTGTGCAGGCACGTGTGTAACTGGAGATTGAACCCAAAGACTTGCCCTGAGCTTTAACCCCAGCCCCTTTCTTTTGTTAAGTTTTCATACAGAATCTCACTAAGTGGCTCAGTTGGGCAGTTTGGGCTCCACTTTTTACCTTTTATAGGTAAGCGATGACAGGGGATGTTTGTCCTTCTGTGCCTGGGATACCCGATAAGTGTCTTACATTTCTCTTTCACAACGTGTGGGGTTTTGTTTTTGGTTGGTTTAGGGTGCTGTATTTGTTTATCAGGCAGGATGTCCCTGTGTAGCACATATAGTACTATAATATGCGCTCTTCAGTCTCAGCCTCCAGAGTGCTGAGATTATAGATGTGGCCAGCATACTCAGATTTTTTTCATGTTTGTTAGTTTTTTCTAGTTGGGTTTTCATTTTGTTGTTGTTCCAAAGTGGAGACTGAACCTATGGCCTTTCCACTGAGATGCATCTGCAGTTTTCTTTAAAGACAGGGTCTCACTGGGTAGTTCAGGCTGAATTTGAACTCATTATGTAGCTCAGGTTGACCTTAAACTCACAACAATCCTCCTGCCTCAGCCTCCCAAATGTTCGGATTACAGGTGTGCAACATCTTGTTGAGGTTTTTGTTTTGTTTCTTTTATTGTGAAACGAGGTCTTGGTAACTTGAATTTGGGACCCTCCTGCCTCAGCCTCCCAGAGTCTGGAATTACAAGGGCTATCATATCTGGCTTTTTCTGTTAGGTTAAGACAAGCTCCACTGAGGTAGTAACAATAGTAGCCACCTTCTCTAAGAGACTAACGGCCCTTTTGCGTGTCCCCACAGAAAACTTGTCATTCCTAACCATTACTTCTCCAAGACCCCAGGCGCTTGTGCTCACCTGATGTCCGCTTGTGTAATTATTCAAGCTCATATGAGCCCCCAAGATGGAAAAAAGTAGAACTTCATTCCAGATGACTGGCAACGTGCAGCCATCCTCCTGTGCTTTCTTCCTCCACGCGACCTTGCATCTTGTGACTGGAGATAATCAGGTTGTGTCTCTTCCAGGTCACACTGTTGCCAGGGTCATGAACACAGACAGCTCCTTTGCAAAGAGCCCCACGGAAAATACTGTGAAACCACAGAAGAAATACAGGGTGAGACGATCTGCAAGGGCAGAGAAGTGGCCAGGTAACAGTGCAGGGTAACTAGATTTCTCTGGACATAAGGACAGAGGCACAGGCGATTCGGTATGTCTGAGGTTTCTCACCCTCACTCTGTGCTCCCCTAGAGTCTGGAGCGACCACAAGGCCGTGAGCCCAGTGTGTTGGAGAAGAGGGGAGGGGAGAGAGCAAGGCAACGACTGGGTGTCCAAGGAGAGCTGGTCACTGCTCCCGCTATTGTCTCAGTCGCGGTGTCACCCAGGGGGAGTCATCTCTACTTCCCAGATCCATCAGATTTGTCCTGCAGCAGCAGAGGTGACCTGGGCCGAATGGCATCCCCTTCTCACTGAGTGACTGCCAGAATGTACTTCTTCTTTTCTAGGCCTTTGCAGATATTTCCAAATACTTCTCTCGGAACCAGTGGAAAAAGATGAGCTATTCTGACAAAGTCACCTGTGTGTATTTGAAAAGAAACTACACCACCATGACTAGACTAGGTAACGGGGTCGTGGGTGCAGAGGAGCCTGGGATATCAGGGCACCCCTCAGACCCCTTCCACACTACAGCCTCTTATTAGCCCAGAATGAGCACCCTCTCACTTTGGAGGGTCCTGTTCCTTGACGTCTCACGCAAGACTAAGGACAGGGAGCAGCTGCCATGAACTTAGATGCATGTTCTGAGCAGTTTTGTCCCTTGGCGGTGGCTCTCTTGTGCTTTCCAGTCCCTGCGGCCCCCCCAACAGCTGCCCTTTCCCTCCTCCTCTCAAGAATAGACACTGTTCTTATTTCTAGGTCTGAGAGTCTCTCTGCCAACTTTCATGCGTGGTCATGAAAGGGATGTGCCAACTGATGATCCTCATGAAGGGTCCAGCCGCGGGGCTCAGGGTGAGTGAACAGGAGGAGGCTGCTTTTCTGTCCGGCTTCTCCCTCACATGGGTCAGGCCTGTGCAAAGAGTTGGAGCAGAAAGTCAAACGCAGCGGTCATTTGTAGAAGATGGAAAAACACAAAACAAGAATATATGTTTTATGCATAATAAGAGAGTGGCATATATATGAAAACCTGAGTGAGGCCAGATGTGGTGGTGCACACCGGTATTTCTTGCACTTGGGAGGCTGAGACAGGAGGATCAGATTCAGTTTGGGGCCAGCCTGGGCTACACAGTGAGTTCAAGGCCAGCGTGAACTACACAGTAAGACCTTGTCTCAGAGAAGGGGCAGATGGATGATGGAGCAGAGGTCCCTGTGCATCAAAGTAACAAGTAATGAATAGTCGTCAGAAAGGCAAGAGGAGGTATTCACTCACTGCTGACTGTGTAGCTATAAGAAACGGGGTCAGAATCTCCAAACTCTCTGGCAGATCAGTGACTGCACTGTTGAACAAGCCAGATCCCACAAGCTCTCACACTCACAGTAAGAGGTCTGAAAATCCAGAGCCTTAGTCAATGCAAAGGGTTTTTGGGTTTCTGGTTTTTTGTTTGGTTGTTTGCAATACTGGAGATTGAGCCTAGGGCCTACCGGAGCACTGAGGTGCCTCGCAGACCTTGCCCTTTTCTATTCTCTGTCTATTCTCTCTCTCTTTCCCTTGCTCTCACTCTCACTCTCGGTCTCCCTTTCTTTCTTTGTTTGATACAGAGAGTTGAGCCCAGGAACTTCACATTCAGCTACGTGCCTAGCACCATGTTATTTGTTATTTTGAATCAGGGACTCAATGAATCATTCCATTGTCTGGGGTGTTTGGATCTTTCAGTCCTCCTGCCTCAGCCTCCCAGAGTGCTGAGATTACAGGTGTGTGCCACCATGTCCTGCTTTTAGTCCACATTTTATAAATCGTCGGAAGGAAACTTGAATGTTACAGATAAGTGCGAGGCCTTTATGAAAGGTAACTGAGAAGCCACTCCTGCCCTGTGAGTGCTCTTGAAACCCTGCACTGCAACATCCTCTAGTACTGTAGATATCTGGCATTTGGAATATGCACCGAGGAAGAAAAGCTCTGACCTTCTGTCCTCTTTCAGATAATCCAGCTAAGAGGACTCAGAAACGTCCGAAGGTGAGTGTGTTCCAAACCTAATGTACCAGAGCACCTTCGCACTCCTTAAATGTCAATATTGCTAAGAGTGGGAGAGTAGCAAAATGTCCCAGTCCTTGCTGCCTCCTTCCTCTTTTTGCTTTCTTTCCTTTCGTTCCTTCCTTTTTCGTGGCAGGGTTGAAGCCAGGCCTGATGCGTGTCAAACACACAGCCTCCCGCTGAGCCCCACTCCCAGCCCCGCCCACCGCGTCTTCACAGTGCCTGATGGAGCCACAGCAGCTTCATCACACCTACGACAGCCCTGACTGCTAATACTTCTCTGATTTTCATAGGAACACCAGCTGTGATTTCAGGCAACTCCCATGGATTTATATGATCGTTAGGAAACGTCTAAGGCGCTGTTTGTGTTACTACCTCTAAATAATCGTGAAGATGTGTTGTTTGCAGTGCCGGGTTGGAACTGAGGACCACATGCATGCTAGGCGTGTGCTCAGTCACTGAGCTCCTCCACGGGTCCTCTCCCTTTCATGTTTACATTTACCGTCTCACTAGCCATCCACGAGCTTACGAGGGATCTGCTGTACTTCATAGAAGTTCTTCCTTTCATGGAGGTTGTGGGTTCCTAGAATGCTTTTCTTTCCCAAATCTTCTGATACCACATTCTCAATTACATGTATACTTTTTCTGTTTGTGATGTCGGTCTGCATGCACCATGGAGCAGATGCTAGTCCTTGAAATGCCTTGCAGTTAGGCCATTCCCATGTTTTCAGATCTCCCAGGTTTCTCAAAATTTGGGTACTGATAATACTATGATCTTCCAGAGGTGACAAAAGCATTAATTAAGGTAAAGCATGCAATCCAGGGGTGGTGGGGCATGCCTGTAATCCCAGCATTTGGGAGGCTGGGGCAGGAGGATTGCTGTGAGTTTGAGGCCGGCCTGGGCTGTATAGTGAGATGTACCTCAAGAAACACACACACAAACAAGCAAACAAACACGAAAAGTAAAACAAACCAAAAAAAAGGTAAAACATGCAAAGACACTCAGTAAGTTCTCAGGTAGTAGAGTAACGTTATTGATACTGTTTATATGTGGCCTTGACTTTAAGATGCCCAAAAAGCCAGCAAAGAAAAGCCATGATGTAAAGATAGAGCTAGAGGATGAACCTGAGGATGAACAGGCTTTGAGAGCGCAGTGCGCCTCAGGAGAAGCAAGCACCTCTGGGAGGAACGATTCAGAGATACCTGGTAAGAGACCACAGCTGGGGAACAGCGCTTGGGGCTTCCCTGCCTTTGTGTCAGGGTGTGATTTGGAAGTGTGGCATGGACCCAGGCCCAGACTGGGTTGAGGAGCCCAGCCAGCACCAGCTGAGACATGAGAAAATGCTTTCAGAATCAGAAGCTTGAGCTGTTATGCATCTAAAAGCCATGCAACTTTGGGCATGTCTTCTGAATTTTCTGTACTCCAAGCTGGCTATGATGATGGTGAATGTCCATAATCCCAGCACTCTTGGAGGCTGAGGCGGGAGGATTGTGAACTCAAGCCCCACCTGGGCCACCTAGTGATATTGTGAGGCCCTGTTCAAAGTTCTTTAAAAAAAGATTTAAAAGTCCCAGAGTGGGAGCTCAGTGTAAAGGCTCTGGATTCAATGCTCAGCATCATGAAGAAAACAAATTCTCTGTGCTCCAGATTCTTAGTTCATCAAATGGCAATAAAAACTCCTAAATCATTCAGAAACATTATCTTTTGAATCTAGAGGCTTCACAGTGTGAAATTTGCTGAGCTGATGGTGCTGCATGATAACCTGGAAGCATACTCTGTCAGCTTAGTACTGGACACAGACTATGCCCTTCACAAGTCTGTGCTGAGCAGCACAAGGGCCGAGGGGTGTTCTGGTGAGAAAAGAGTTTGGGAATCTAGGCCTAACAATGGGAGGGGGCAGAGCCTTGCCCTTGAACTGGCATTTGGTCTCTACTGGTGTGCTGGGCCTCTAACATCTCAGCTTCTAGAAGCCAGAGGATGTGCAAAGCAGAGCACCCGGAAGGCCTGCAGGCTCTAGGAGTGGCAAGGCATCTCCTCTTCTGACAAAGCAGGACCTGCGAGTCCCTACACTCTCAACTCTCACTCACCAGCCCTTCCCCATCCTCCATCTCAGGCTTCAGGCAGAGAATGGTGAGTAGCTGGGACAGCCGACTACGTGAACGGACGAATCGCGTAGTGTATGAAGAGATCAGCGACCCTGAGGAAGAAGCCTGAGTCCGTAAGTGAGTCCTTGCCATGGCTCCGTAGCACTGCAGATGTGCTGCTCTGGTATGTTCCTGGCATCGTGTCCAGTGCCCTTTCCTCCAAATCATTTCCTTCTCCCAGTGCCATGGAGTGCAACAGGGAGGCTCAATGAGATTCCCCATTCTTTTTCTACTCCCTGCCCCGAATGCTGTGGCCTCTGCAAGCCCAAGCCGCTCCTTACTGCAGCCTAGCAATGCTCTAGCCAAGCAGAGTCACTCCAGCCAGGCGAACCTAGGGCTTGCCTGGAGGAGCGGAGGCTCTGGAGTCAGGTAGAATGGGAGCTTATGGCTCTGAAGGTCAGGAGGACCTGAGCTCTGAGCATCTGGGCGGTGGGAACTCACTGTCTCTGCTTTCCTTCTCTCTCCTTGCCTCAGGCTCAGGGATATCCGTGATGAGAAGAAAACCTGGTGGCCTTTTGCAAGCAGTAATCACGGATATGGCTGTAAACTCCTGGCCACCAGGTATACAGCAAGTGAAAAGAAGAGTTCATGCCAGATACAAGTTCCGCATTGGTCTTACCATGTGCCACGTGTTCTGTTAGCACTGTTCTTGCTGTTTGATAAGTGTTCTGTTAGCACTGTTCTCTTAGCACTTACTTGTGATAAGCACTCTGTTAGACTTAGTATTTTAATTCATTGTGTAGAGTGGCACGCTATTGAGCATGCTAATATACCTCATGCACACTTCCGTGTACCTCGTTCCATGCATCTACCTTAAAGAGCAAGTACTGTATGATCTTCTCAGCCCTACTCATCCCTCGCCACAGACGTGACTACTGAGAGGAGTTGTAGGCACTTCAATCCAGATTTTCCTCTGCACTTACACACCCAGTTGGGCTGCATGAGCACCTCTCGCCTACCTTGCTCACTAAACTAAGGTACTTGGAAAACTCCTGGCTTTCAGTTACCTTGTATTAATTACTGACAATTAATAAACTCTTGCAGTATTTACCAGTAGTTGGATTCTGTTTTTTGGTGGGTCAGGGGCTGAGGTAGGGTCTTGCTATGTAGTTCAGGCTTGCCTTGAACTCACTTTGTACCCAGGCTGGCCTCAAAGTCACAGTGATCCTCCTGTGTCAACCTCCCACGTGCTGGGATTAGAGGCATGTGCCACTACACCCAGCCTAGACAGTCTTATTCTTGTGCACACAGCACTATGCATTGTGTGGGTAGGTGTGTTGATTTTTGGACAGATTCTTGAATGCACATTTGGCAGATCAGAGGAGTCATTCATTCAATGCCTGATGAGCAGAGGCTGAGCCAAGCACTAGGTCCGAGGTGCTGAAATATATCAGGGAGTGAGGCAGAGCGATATCCCTGCTACATGGGCTTGGTGCTCTAGCAGAGGATATTTCCAACTTCGACATGGATGGATGCTATATGCGCCAGTCCCGGGGTAGGATTTGCAGGAGGTGGTTGAGTGCCTTGGACCTTTGCTTTCTGAATGACCTGAAGGTAATAGGGCCTGGGAAGGACCCTTTTGGAGCGTGTGGAGGAGGCAAGTAAAACCATCAACTGGGGAACATGGGGGAATTGAGAGAGCATTCACTGTGCCCATGTAGTGGACATAAAGAGAGAAACCTCCTTGGTCTCAAAGTAGGAGGGTGACTGGACAAAGCATGAGACTGGCCATGAGGGTTTCCCAACCCAGGGCTCAGTTGTAGGTGAGGACTTGGGAGAGAAGTACTCCTGTCCTAGCTAGGCTGTGGCAGTGCATGCAGAGGAGACAGCTCTGGGGAAGGGAGGTGCAGTCAACTTTGGAAGAAACAGTTTTTTGTTGGGGGACATTAAAACCCCTACTTGTTTGCTGGAGTATGGCTCATTGACAGAACTCATGCGTAGCATCATGAGGGCCTGGGTTCAAGCCCCAGTACCCCAGAAAAAGCCACCAACACATGTGAAATGCTAGCCCCAGATGATGCAGGATTAGAGCCATTTGATCTCGGGCATCTCAGCTCCCACCTGACCCTGGAAGGCAGGCACCTTAGGCCGAGAATGTGCAGTCTTTCCCAAACCCTTGTAGCCAGGATGTGCAGCCAGAGACCGGAGGGTGGGGAGAGTTGGGGTTGTTCCCGCTACTGCACCAGATCTCAGGGTAGAGCACATGGGGCATTTCCTCAAGGTGGGGAGCCCTCAGGGTTGAAGTCTAGAGGAAACAGAAAGAAGAGCACAGGAGTTTGTAGGTGAGCAGAGCAGCCAGGGGTACCCAAGACCAAGTATGGACTCCCAGAGCCACCAGAGAGTGCGTGGGGAAGTTGTGACAGGTCAGCTGAGTCCTGGGACAAAGGGTGTGAGTGTGCCCTGCCTGGCAATGCAGGGAGTGGTGAGTGCTGCCCAGGTTAATGAGGGCAAAAATTACATCTAACTCTAGTATAGGTGTCTGTGTGTGTGTGTGTGTGTGTGTGTGTGTGTGTGTGTGTGTGTGTGTATGTGTGTGTGTGTACACTGAGGTCTTCTCTCACTCCCAGAACTCCATACTATGTTATTTCTCGTGGGTTTTTAATCTTTTTCTTATTTTTAAGCATAGCTCTAAACTGCTAAGCTGTCCAGGCTGGACTCAAACTTAAAATCCATGTGCGTCAGCCTCCCAGAGTTGTGACATTACATATTTGTACCTCTATGCCTGGCTTCTACAAGGATCTGTGTGTGTGTGTGTGTGTGTGTGTGTACTGCTGAGGACTGAACTACACCCCAAGCCCTTGTGTTTTTTATTGTGGTACTGGGTATCAAACCCAGGTATGCTCTATATACACAGTCCTTCCTATTTTTGTTTTAAGATTGAATTTTTCTAAGTAACCCAGACAGGACTCCAACTTGTGATCCTCCTACCTTGGCCTATCCAGTAGCTGAGATTTATAGTCATAGGCCACTGGACCTGGCCCAGTAGCATTTTATATTACACATATATATGTTCTGCAGCTGGAGAAACATTTTATTTCTCTTTCTTCCTTGGAAGACAGATGTGTGGTTGGATTTCCCAGTGCCTGAGACTGGTTGAGGGAAGGGTGGCTCCAAGATGTTGCATCACCACAGAAAATATTTTCCATTAGGTTACATGGGCTAATGACACTCCCCATAGCCATTCTTCCTTGTCCTCCTCCTTTCTATCCTACTACTGTACAGATGCAATTTTTGTGAAGAAGGAGGCCCTGGCTTTGTGTGATCCCACAACCAGCCTTCCACTCCCCCCAAACCTGGGGTCCATCACCAAGGATATGGTGATGCATACCTCTAATTTTACCACTCAGAAGGCTGAGGCAGAAAGATCGCTGTGAGTTTGAGGCCACCAGAAACATGACAAGAGATAGAAATTTTAAAAAATCACCAGCTGCCAAACCTGGGAAAATAAACCCAGAGGAAGTAAATACAGAAGAGAACCAGCACAGTAACCATCCAATACCAGACACAGCATCAGCAGATATAAAGAATTACATTTATGACCTCATAGACAAATTTAAAACTGTACTTCTAACCCAAGTGAGGCAAGATATAAGAAGATTAATTTAAGAAATGATAAGCCCCTCCCAAGAGAACACAGATGGAAGAACAGAGAAAATCAAAAAAGGGAAATCTCTGGTGAAGAATTTAAACATAACCTAGAATACATGAAACAAAGGGATTACCGATCCAAAGGGATTACTAGGAATCTAAAAACTCCATTGAAAACTGGTGAGGGGTCCCAAGAGGGGGCAGTGCCTTGACAGAAACTAAAGTTAGCCTTTTGAAACCTGAAGAGAGATTTATGATATATGATTGCAAAAGAAAAGACCTCTTAAAAATCACGAGGAACCAGAAAGAAACAATTCAAAGGCTAGAAGATGACAAAAGCATACATAACTTAAGAATAAAGCACAGGAGCGAGGAAACAGGAGTAACCAAAAATGAACTACAAAGAATATTCACAGGTATGTTAAAGGAAAATTTCCCAAGCATAGGAAAAAGAAATGATATCCAGATAAATGAGGCATACAAACCCCAGCAAGCTACAACCAAAACAGATCTACACCCAGACCTATAATAATCAAGATTCCAGAGATCCACCAAAAGAACAGAATACTAAAAGCAGCCAGGGAAAAGAAGCAGATTACCTACAATGGGAAAATTATCAAAATAACAACAGACTTATCAACATAAACTCTCAAATTGAGAAGAGCCTAGAGGGAAGCTATCCAAGCTCTGAAAGAAAATAATTTGCAACCAAGACTGACGTAGCCAGAAAAACTCTCAAAATTGATGGATAAATAAGATGTTTCCAAGACAAGAAGGAACTGTAGGAGTTCATGGCCACCAACCCAACCCTACAGAGAGTGCTGAAGGACATTCCAGAGAGAGAGAGGAAGGGATACCAGGATTCCGGCAACAGTGGCAGAGAGGCCTCAATGAATGGGGCAGACAGTGGAATGAGGGAGTAAGGTGATCCATCCCGTGAATCAGTCTGTGGGCCTTGCCTGGAGAGGGGATGGAGATGGAGGGCTGGGCAAGAGAAAAGAGAGACGGAGACAAGGTGGGATTCCATTCAAGTCTCGTTTATTCTTAAAATGGCTACAACTTATATAGAGTGGAGGCAGGCCAATATGGCAGGAAGAGGGCACAGAGTGTTATCTGATAGGTCATTGTCACATCCGGATATATGATGTAAGCAGGAGAGGATTATGGGAGATGTAGGCTGAAGCAGGAAGTTGCTCGCATCATGCACACTGTAGGCAAAGGGAGGATCATGGGAAATGTAGGCTGACACACAAAATGCCCTCAAGTGGGAGGGGCAGGGCAGCAGCAGCCATTCTGAGTTGCTCCCTACATCTCCTCCCTTATTATTATAGATTTTTTAGGAATATGACAGGCCCTGGGAGGACAGCGCCTGTCTTGGGTCAAGGACTCCTCATATGAACCCAATCGAGCCTTACCTGTCGTGGACCTGCAGGACAGCTGTTGGTCCTGGGCCTGTCTTAGGTGGCCAATGGCACAACATAT